AATTCTTTATCTTGCCTCTGTTCTGTAATGTTTAATCTCTGTATATGTATTAATCTACAATTAAAGCACGTGGTGAATGTTCCCTTCACATACTTGTTTAAGGAAATTTCCAGCAGAGGTCTTATGTAATGTAGATGAACAAGAAACTTGGTTCTTGAAGTCTTTGTCCTCAGAATACATTATGACATGAATTTTTATAGGTCTTTTGTTTGGTGTCTTCTATCCTGACGTAATGCTTATATGCCCTGTGTTTCTAATACAGTATTCAGAAATAAGCAAAACCAAGGAGTAGCCTGTCTTTTTCTGAAGGAGAGTGGTTTTTATTTGGGCTGGGGGGGCAGGTGGTTCTGTTATTCTGGTGCTTTTGGAACCTTTGTATGAAACACAGTTTATCTTAGATGAAGAAAAACATGGGGTAACATCCCTTCCAGAATGGCACTAACCAAATTTTTGACTGATGCGACAAAACAAAACCTCAGTTCCTATTGAATTGAAAGACATGATTGCCAAGAGAAGGCTTATGTGATGATGGCAGAAGCTGGTTATTACAATTAGTAATATTAGTAAAGGAGACATTTGTCTAAAGTATAAGAAGGAAGAAAAACAACATTTTAAAAAGCTAATACTCTACTTGGTGACCAAGACCTTTAAAGATTAGATTTAAAACTTAATTTTAGTTTGAGTGTTTTGTTTTGACTGGCAAGGTTTGCTTACATTGCCTGACTTGTGAACTATTTATACCAAGGTGATATCTTTCCTTCTCAGACCTCAGAATATATTATTCAAGCTTACAAATATGGTGCATTTGAGAAGATCCCAGAGTTTATCGCTTTTAGGAACAGGCTGAATAATTCTCTTCATTTTGCACAAGTCCGTACTGAACGGATGCTGTTAGACCTTCTACTTGAAGCAAATATGTAAGTATTGCATGAGAGCTCTAAAGGAGCTAAGGGATTAGATCAGTTAAGAGCCGTTAATGGGCTCATGGGTGTTATTAGCAGGCTTAAGGTAAAATATGGGGGAAAAAAGGGAGACAGACAGTGGGGAAACAGAACTTGGTACATGTCATGGGAAATGATAGAATACTGCCAGCAACATCTTGGGACCATTATAGAAGCCATTTAGGTCATGGTCATCAACACCTGGTCCCTATTGTGCTTACAAAGGTTCCTCCTTCCCTACAAATCAAGAGATTTCAGGAATTAATGCTGATCCCCTTTGTTTTGTGTGGGCTTCCAGAAGCCTTTTTCTTGCCATGTATAGCAAGCCAGTTTGATCTGTGCTTGGTTCTATTTCACCCTATATGAGCCCTTCCTTCCTCTTTCCCTTCCTGTCTAGTAAAACAGGAAGTCCTGATTAATAATATTTTCTGGCTATTTTACTATTAAAATAATACATGAATTTTTTTTTTTTTTTTTTTTAATCACAGATCAACCAGTTTAGCAGAAAGTATAAAGTCAATGAACCTTAGGCCAGAAGAAGATGACATTCCATGGGAAGATTTACGAGACAACAGAGACTTAAATGTTTTTTTCAGCTGGGATCCAAAAGACAGGTAACTGGAATTTAACCCCAAGCAATTTTTAAAGTTTTTTTCTTTCTTTTTTTTTTTTTTAAAAGAGACAAGGCTTTTAAAGAGACCAAAATCATAGCTCACTGCAGCTTTGAACTCCTGGGTGAAGCAATTTATTTTTAAAGAATTAAGATGGGCCAGGCGTGGTGGCTCAGGCCGTTAATCACAGCACTTTGGGAGGCTGAGGCGGGTGGATCACTTGAGGTCTGGAGTTCAAGACCAGCCTGGCCAACGTGGTGAAACCCTGTCTCTACTAAAAATACAAAAATTAGTTGGACATGGTGGCATGTGCCTGTAATCCCAGCTATTCAGGAGGCTGAGGCAGGAGAATTGCTTGAACCCAGGGAGCGGAGGTTGCAGTGAGCCAAGGTCGCACCATTGCACTCCAGCCTGGGCAACAAGAGCAAAACTCCATCTCAAAAAAAAAAAAAGAATTAGGATGAATCTAAAGTTAAAAAAAACAAACTCCACTTTACACAAATATAAAATAATGTGTTTGTTGTAGTGATCAGAAAATATAGGTAAGCCAAATGAAGAAAGTGTAGCTCACCCCTATGCTGGGATTGCCGGTTAATCTAAAAGTTAGATCAACTTCACAGCATATATGAGAATTCCAGACGGATTAAAGACTATATGCTAAATTTTAGATTCCTTAGAAATTGTAGAAGAAAATATAGAAAATATTTTTAAATAGGCGAGGAAAGCCTTTCTTAGCATTATACCAAATCTGGAAACATAAAGAATTTAACTTCTGTAAATAGAAATAATAAATTTGTTAAGTTCTAAAGGTTTGTAGTAAATTTCTTCATATAAATATCCTTCATATATAGAGAGAACTCTTAATAGTCAATAAGAAAACAAGAAATTGGGCAAAGGGCTTAACAAGAAGTTCAAAGAAACACATCTTACAGCAATAAAGATTTTGTTTCTAGCAAAAAAAGATGAATACTTGTGGTCAGCAAGACTGTGTGGAAAATACTTATTATGCATTTACACAGGGATAAATTTTATACAGTCTTCCTATAGGGGATTGTAGTGATCTCTACCAAGATTTAAAACGCCACACACCATTTAATTTGGCAGATCTGCTTGTAGGAAAATAGAACCTAAGGAAATAAATGCAGAAACATGCTAAGATGTGTATATGAGGTAGTTCTGAACATTCTGTGATTTGTGGGTTGCCAAGGCCACATTCAGTGATTTAGAATTTTTGAGTCCCAGAAGGACTCACAGGGCTGAGCATATAGTTGCACTCAACGGCTAAGGCTTATTATAATGAAAGGACACATGACAGAATCTGGAAGGGAAAAAGGAACAGGCAGAGTCTGGAGAATTCAGACTTCCAGTGTTTTCTCCCTCCTCTGAGGGGAAACACTGAGTATGCTCCTTTCTCTAGCAGGGAAAAATGCAGCAATACAGGTGGAATGTTCCTGCCCGGGGAAACCCAGTAGAGACTTGGTGCTTAAGGTTTCATTGTTATGTAGGTACACTCTGTCTATCCTGAGTGGAAAGAAAGCAGGTATTCACCATAAACAACATGGTTTATATAAACAGTCTAGGCACAGTGAGCCACTCTTATTTTAGGGAACAGTTGGAGTGCAGAGTTCCCAGACGTCAGCCAAGGGCCAACCTTGCAAGTAGGCCCTTCTAATGATAATAGCTACAGGCCTGCTATGTTAACTCTTTTCTGCACACACTGTCATAAAAAGATGAAGTTTGCAAAATAGTGTAAATACTCTAACCAGTTTGTTTAAAATTAAGTTGTATACATACTATTTTTAGTTACTTGTTTTTTTAGATAGAGCCTGTTGCGTACTGTAATCAATTTGTTTAAAATTATTAAGTTGTATAAGTATTATTTTTAGTTGCTTTTTATTTTTGAGACCTAGTCTCTCTCTGTTGCCCAGGCTAGAGTGCAGTGGCGTGATCTCGGCTTACTGCAACCCTCACCTCCTGGGTTCAAGCAATTCTCCTGCCTCAGCCTCCCAGGTAGCTGGGATTACCGGTCCCCACCACCATGCCTGGCTAATTTTTGTATTTTTAGTAGAGACGGGGTTTTGCCATGTTGACCAGGCTGTTCTCAAACTCCTCACCTCAGGCAGTCCCCCGATCTGGGCCTCCCAAAGTGCTGGAATTAAAGGTGTAAGCTATCTCACCCAGCCCCAATTTTTTTTTTTTTTTTTTTTTTGGGGGGGACAGAGTCTTACTCTGTCATCCAGACTGGACTGCAGTGGCGCAATCTCAACTCACTGCAGCCTCCACCTCCTGGGCTCAAGCAATTCTCCTGCCTTAGCTTCAGCTGGGACTACAGGCGTGTGCCACCACAGCCGCCTAATTTTTTGTGTGTTTTTAATAGAGATGGGGTTTTACCCTGTTAGCCAGGATGATCTCGATCTCCTGACCTCATGATCTGCCTGCCTCAGCCTCCCAAAGTGCTGGGATTACAGGTATTAGCCACTGCGCCCGGCCACAGCCCCTATTTTTAGTTAGATTTTTATACATCCGCATTACAAAAGTCTAAAAAGGTCTATACCAAACTTGATAATACTGTGGGTATTGGTTATCAGGGCAGCTTTTCTACCTTTTACATTTTTCTGTCATTTGAATTTTTTATATCATGTATTATTATTTTTATTAGAGACAGGATCTTACCCAGGCTGGAGTACAGTGGCGTGACCATATCTCACTGCAGCCTTGAACTCCTGGGCTCAAGCAATCCTCCAATCTCAGCCTCCCTAGTATCTGGGACTATAGGTGTGTGCCACCACGTCCTGCTAATTTTTTGTATTTTTTTGGTAGAGACTGGGTCTTGCTATGTTTACCAGGCTGTTCTCCAACTCCTGGCCTCAAGCGATCCCTTACCTCAGCTTCCCAAAGTGCTGGGATTACAGGTGTGAGCCACCACTCCTGTCCTCATGTATTATTTTTATAATCAGAGAACAAAGTGTCATTTATAGGGAAAATGACCTCTTTTTTTTTTTGAGATGGAGTCTCTCTGTCACCCAGGCTGGAATGCAGTGGTGCAATCTCGGCTTACTGCAAGCTCCTCCTCCCTGGTTCACGTCATTCTCCTGTCTCAGCCTCCCGAGTAGCTGGGGCTATAGGTGCCTGCCACCATGCCAAGCTAATGTTTTTGTATTTTTAGTAGAGATGACGTTTCACCTTATTAGCCAGGATGGTCTCGATCTCCTGACCTTGTGATGCGCCCACTTCGGCCTCCCAAAGTGCTGGGATAACAGGCATGAGCCACCGTGCCCGGCCGAAAATGACCTGTTGAATAGGTTATCATTCCCATTTTATTGATAGTGAAATGGTGTTTGAGAACATTTTGGCTTGTCTTAGGTCATTCAGCTAGTAAATGAAAGCCGGAACCATTCAAAGCATCTTAACTGGTGAAAGTTAACTTTTATTTTATTTTATTTATTTATTTTTTATATCTCTAGTTGTATTTTTATAACTCCCCAGTTTATTTTGAAATATTCATGATTTCAACATTATCTCAAAATACACAGAAATTACCTATATCTGCCTATACATTTATTAAATGCTGATGAAGAATACTTAATATTTAAGCATGCCAAATAATAAAGCGTTTCCCAACTTTTAAAATTATTTTTAAAAATAAGCCAATTTATATTGGACATTTGGGTTACATGTGCATATAAAAAGTGTCATATTCCTCAACTGACCATAGTTAAGACTAGCATACAAGCGTCCTTCTTTCTGGATATAATTAAGTTTCAGAGGCAAAGTGGTTCAGATGGGAGCAAATGAGCTGACCTCCTCATGAAGTAAACTCGACAAAAATCATGAAGTATTGAAGGTGCTAACGACTGTTTCCATAAATGTTTCTCTCTTCCCTATCTTTTCAATATACAAGTGTGCACTATGGGTGTGTATAAATTAAAACACTTCTAATCTAGACTGTGAGCTCCTATGGAGAGGGCTACTGTCAATCCATAAAAGGCCCTGGGGAAGAGAGAGGTAGCACAGGGAGCAGAGGGCACCTGCCCTCCATCAGGCCATCCACACAAACCTACTGAAGAGGTAGACTTGACTATCTAAGTCTCAGTGGGCTTAGATGCTGACCTGGGCCTTCAAGTGAGGTTTTCCTTCATTATGTTTTATGTTCCTTGTTCTACTATTTTTGTAATTGGGGCAAAGTGAGATGTTCAGCTAGTCTAAGAATACTTAATATACCCCATAAACTGTCAGAATCAAATAATTTTATTGATTCTTCTGCCAAACATAACTGATTTCCATCTACAATATTTTTTAAGGTAAGAAACAGTAAGTCAACTGAACAAAGAACTGGGTATTTGGGCTCTGGAACATGATTACACACTGACTGAGAATGCAGGACCTCAGGGTGGGGTCTAGTCAGGCTGGCCACAGCAGGACATGAACCTGCCTCAGTCGGCCTTCTCCAAGAACGCTCTGCAGCACCTGACACATTGCTGGTACACCGTCTCAAAGTCAGTCATTCCCATAATAGGGATCTTCAATAATAAGTTGTTTTTGTGGATCATAGCTCCCAAGTAGTTCAATTTTAGCTTTGCAGGTTTTAACTTGATTACTTTTTCTATTCAAATCTCTCAGATTGCTTTCCTCCATACATAGTATATAATCAAACGTGGTAAAATCTTCTTTGGTAATCTGCCGGGCAACGTGGCTCATGGGAATGCCGTGCCTCTTCATGCAGTTCTGCCCTCGGTAGTCAGGGGCGTTCCCTATCTCATACCCGGAAGTCGCCGCGCTGTCTACCCTCCAATTCTCTGAGATGTTTTGATCAGTTACAAGTTTCCTGAAAACTGCTTCTGCAATGGGTGATCGACAAATGTTACCCAGACACACAAACAGCACGGACTTGGTAGCCTGTTCCGCCATCTTTCCCGAAAGTTAACTTTTAAAAGATTTGAGGCCAGGTGCGGTGGCTCACGCCTTAATCCCAGCACTTTGGGAGGCCGAGGCGGGCAGATCATGAGGTCAGGAGATCAAGACCATCCTGGCTAACACGGTGAAACTTCCAAGCTGTTGGAAGTCTCTACTAAAAATACAAAAAAAAACTAGCTGGGCGTGGTGGCAGGCGCCTGTAGTCCCAGCTACTCGGGAGGCTGAGGCAGGAGAATGGTGTGAACGCAGGAGGCAGAGCTTACAGTGAGCTGAGATGGTGCCACTGCACTCCAGCTTGGGTGACAGAGCAAGACTCCGTCTCAAAAAAAAAGATTTGAAAGCAATGAATTGAATAAGTTAGATAATTTGGGGATGTTTCTGTTTAAGGGACGTTTCTGAAGAACATAAGAAACTTTCCTTAGAGGAGGAGACCTTGTGGTTAAGAATCCGATCCTTAACATTGAGGCTGATCAGTGGACTTCCAAGTCTCAACCACCCTGTGGAGCCAAAGAACTCGGAGAAGACTGCCGAGAATGGGGTATCCTCCCGGATTGATATTCTTCGTTTGCTGCTTCAACAGCTAGAGGCAGCCCTGGAGACAGGAAAGCGATTTATTGAGAAGGATATTCAGGTACCATCAATATATATAATTTACCATCAAAGTTGCAATAATTATATTTATGACTGTTTTATAAACAGGCATTTGGGGTGAGTGAGTAGTAAGGAATTGTTTTGTCCCAGTTTATGGCTTCTGTAGGAGAAAGAGGAATATTTTAGACTCAGAGGGAATTGCAGAGGCTTCCTCAATATCCAGACTAGTGAGGGAGAAAGCAAAATAACTTTTTGTGATGGTAAGTTTTTAATAGCTAGCAACAAATTAATATAGATGTTCTGTTTTTACTGTAATGATTCAGTTTATTAGTTTGCTGATTAGTGGCTTTTAGCTGAGACAGGTTTTTATTCACTAGTTACTTGATTTTCTTATTTTGTATGCATTTAGATGGATCTAGAAGAGCATTATTTTTCTCCCTTTTTTCCAGTATCCTTTCCTTGGTCCTGTACCTACTAGAATGGGTGGATTCTTTAATTCTGGCTGTTCTCAGTGCCAGATAAGCTCTTTTTATCTTGTCAGTGATATTTATGAGCTGGATACCAGTGGTTTAGGTAAGTGTACACTGTGTGTTTACAGGGTGTTTGTCATAGAAAATGTAGTACACGTAATAAAATGTCTATAACCTCACATTTGGAAAATTTTAGAGTATATAGCAGCTGGAAGCTGTTCTGGAAATGTCTGGTTTAGTATACAAGAGCGTACAGTCATAGGTTACAAAGTAATGTTTTAGATGTTTAAGTCCATTCCATATTTAAAATCACTTGTTAGGTCCAGAAGTTGAAGAAATTCTTCATTTGTTGAAAGGCTGTTGGATTTTAAAAATGAAGCAGTAGGCCGGGCGCAGTGGCTCACGCCTGTAATCCCAGCACTTTGCGTGGCTGAGGCGGGCGGATCACCTGAGTTCAGGAGTTCGAGACCAGCCTGGCCAGCATGGCAAAACCCTCTGTCTACTAAAAATACAAAAATTAGCCAGGCATGGTGGGGGGTGCCTGTAGTCTCAGCTACTCCGGTGGCTGAGGCAGGAGAATCGCTTGAACCTGGGAGGCAAAGGTTGCAGTGAGCCAAGGTAGCACCACTGTGCACCCTGGACGATAGAGTGACACTTTGTCTCAAAAAAAAAAAAGGAAAAGCACTAAACTTTGTAGAGAAGAGATTTTTTTTTGTAAGCTCTCAACCCATGAAAATCACAAATACTCTATAGACTTTTCCTTTTATTTATCTATTTTTTTAAATCATAAGGTTAGTAGATCCTACCATTCAGAGTGTTTGAAGCGCATAGATTTTAAGCCCTGTTAAAGAATTTTAGGTAGTACCTTTGGCAGAAAGGTAATTAGTGCCTTTCCTTTTATTCTTCCTTTTCCTTTCATTATCTTTTTCTTTTTGTCTCAAAATAATGAAAAATGCATAAGGGTCTGTAGAGAAAAGAAAATGTCCTTGCCTATGAACTTCTTGCAGGTATTTATCTTGCTTCTTTATCTTACTAAAAATGGAATTGAACGTTTTTCATTTTTTGTTTTTCAATTTTAGAGGATACAATGGAGATCCAGGAACGAATAGAAAATAGTTTTAAGTCTTTACTAGACCAGTTAAAAGGTAAGTTTTCCTACTGTAGATTCATGTATTTGTATCTGGTTGTATGGCAATAGCTTGGAAGTTTTTTCCCCCATTCCCAAACCCAATCACCCAGAGATAAGTAAGTAGTGTTAACACTTTGGAGTCAATACTCCTAGATGCCACCTAAGCACTTATATGTGTGTGAATGAAAATACAGATAAAAAATAATTTTTAAACATAGAAAATGGTGTAATACATGCTTTTTTGACTTTAATTTTTTTTTGTTATTTTGGATACCTTTCCATGTTAGTTATATATACTCCATTTATTTTCAAGACTGCATAATATTCTATAGTATTGTATTAACATTTTTTATGTTCTCCCCAATTGGTGACATATTATGTATATGAGTTATTTCTTCTACCAATGCTGAAATGAATATCTTGGGACAAATTGTTAGGATATTATTTGAGTCCTTCCTTGGGATTAAATTCCCAACAATTTAATAGAATTATTAAATTGTTAAATTCCCAGTAATTTAATAGAATTGTTACAGGGCACATATATGCATCTTATATCTATAAGAGTCTTTCTGGCCGGGCGTGGTGCCTCATGCCTGTAATCCTAGCACTTTGGGAGGCTGAGGTGGGAGGATCACAAGGTCAGGAGATCGAGACCATCCTGGCGAACACGATGAAAACCCGTCTCTACTAAAAATACAAAAACATTAGCCGGGCGTGGTGGTAGGTACGTGTAGTCCCAGCTACTCAGGAGGCTGAGGCAGGAAAATGGCATGAACCCGGGAGACGGAGCTTGCAGTAAGCCGAGATAGTGCCACTGCACTTCAGCCTGGGTGACAGAGCGAGACTCCATCTCAAAAAAAATAAAGGAGTCTTTCTTTTTAGTACCCTAAAGGATTTTTTTTTTTTTTTTTTTAAAGAGATGAGGTCTTGTTATGTTGCCCAGGATGGACTCTAACTCCTGGACTGAAGCAGTCCTTCTGCCTTAGCCTCCTGAGTAGCTGGGACTACTGGTGTGCACCACCGAGCCTGGCTTGGTCTTATGTTTTATTGCCCAGATGAAGAATGTCTGAAAACTTAATGATTAAGATTATGATAGTAAAATTTATTATCTGTTATGAAGATGCATTTCTACAATGTACCTTTTTGGTCTTTCAGTATGAAGATGCATTTCTACAATGTACCTTTTTGGTTTTTCAGTTCATAATGGCACAAGTCCTCTGAATCATTCACTTAGAGTCTTAGTCTTACTGTGCTCATGATCTGTCTGAAAAGGCTTCGCTGGTGTTTAGACCGTAGAATATATAATTTTTAAGGCTACCTTTTATATTTTGAAGACTATAGAGCAATAGCATGGCTTTTTAAAGAGCTTAAAATGGATAGTCTGTCCTTTGGAGTTGGGTTCATTATGGAAAATGAAAAAAAAATTGCTTTCTAAATTAAGTTTTTATTTGCTTATTCTTTATTTGTGTGTTGTGTTCCTTAAAATAGCATTGAAATAAAAGCTGAATAAAACTAAACTTTTTTGTTTTCAGATGTCTTCAGTAAATGTAAAGGTGACCTCTTAGAAGTTAAAGACGGTAACTTGAAAACACATCCTACTCTTTTAGAAAATCTAGTTTTCTTTGTTGAGGTAAGTTTTTGTTCTCTTCCTACAAGACAGTGTTGTTCTTAATGGTCTACAGGATTCATTTTTCAACAGTGAACAGGTAATAGGCACCTTATACCTGCAACTTAACCCTCCATCCCTGTTTTTGTTAATTGAAAAGCAAATTTAAATCATTTTAAAACCAATTCCTTCCAAGAATTCTAAGATGATTTCATTCCTAATACTTAGGTAAAACTTCTTGAAATTTGCTATACTCATCTCTAAACTTCTCCAGATTCACCCCAAATCTAGCTGTTTTCATTCTCCTTTCTGACTCACTCTTTATTATGTAGTTTAATTCTTTCAGCTTCTTTTATTTGTTGTTGTCATTTATTAATTGCTGAGATATGCATTATGACAGCATCCAACAACTGATACAGCAAAACTCCCTCTTCTTTTTTTGCCAGAGAGAAAAGGAGGAGGATTGCAAACACTCATAATCTATTATCTTTTCTTTTATTCCTGTCATATATTTGTTAACCGTTCTCCCATTACTGCTCTGTATGGGGAGTGTACACTGTTCTGGTGATTGGCAAATTGTAAGTGCCTAAGAGATTTTTATTAAATGAATAATAAGCGGACATATATGTACATGCACACATTGTATAGATGAAGACATATAAACAGCTAATTTGATACAATGCAGGATATGTGCTGATCAACTGGGTAGATTTCTCCATACATATGTAAGTTAAGATTTGCAGGTAAGGTGGTATCTTACCTGCTTGGAGAGATGTGAGGGGAGAGGCATATTGTAAAAAACCTTTGGATTCCATGCCTAGGAATTTGGACTCTTCCCTGAGTGAAAAGGATGTTAATCAGTCCCCACTTCTCCAGGGAAGTGACAGAAAATTGGAGTGAAGTGGAGGATGGATTTTGAGCTAGGAGAGCCATAAGAAAGGCTGAAGAGTTAGGTCATTATAGTATTCTGAGCAGGAGATGATGAAGGCCTGGATCAGTAGAGTGATTGCAGAAACTAGAGTGGAAATTCACATGAGAAATTGAAGGGATTCACATAGAAGAACTGCGTTAGAATTTGTTGAATCCATTGCCTCTAATTTCCTGATAGATATTTTTAGTGTAATCCTTATTGGTGAATTTGCAATTTTTCCTTTCAGACTATTTCTGTTATCCTTTGGGTATCCAGTTACTGTGAGAGTGTCCTGCGACCATACAAACTAAATTTACAGAAAAAGAAAAGGAAGAAA